GGTGTGGCCCCCCCCCCCGGGGGGGGGGGGGGGAGGTGCTTTTCACTTTCCCTCTTTCTGCCTGTCTGTCTCCAGCAACCACACATGCTCTGGTGCAAAACTAAAGAAAAAGAAAAAGAAAAAAGAAAGACTACTACCTTGATTGGTTTGGGTAACAGGATCAAAAAGAGTGTTTTCATTTTTATTTTACATGATTATATAATTTGAATAGATGTTTTATGCAAAGGACACTGAAAGAACCAAAATATCAAAGTAGCTAGTTAGTGACTTTCAAACTTCATGGATTTTATGAATAACAGCCATTGTAAGCAATACTTTTTTACATCAGAGGCTAGTACACAAAAGCTTGTGCACATTGCTATGTGAATACAATTCCCCCACCCCCATTATTTGCAGTTTCTCTTTCTACGGTTTCAATTACCTATGATCAACTGTGGTCCAAAAGTAAGTGAACAAGGTATTTAGAGGGAGACAAAAAGAGATCACATTTGCATAGCACTTATTATAGTATAATCTTATCCTTGTTTATGTTATTATTAGTTGTGTTCATTTCTGTGCTTAATTTAATTTATAAATTAAACTTTATTATAGCTGTACTTGGAGGAAAAAACATAGTCTATATGGAGTTCAGTACCATCCGTAGTTTCCTTTTCTTTTTTTTTTTTTTGGGAGAGGTTTTTGCTATAGGGCACATGCACTCGCCAGACAGACAGAGAGAGACAGAGAGAGAGAAAGCGAGAAATCACCCCCCAGGGGGGATGGCCATGCTGCAATCCCTTCTCCTCCATTCTCCTCTCGGAATCTTGGTCACGCATGCACACGCACCTGGCATGAGTTTTAAGCCACCGGGTCCAGGACGCAAACCACGGTCGACTACATGGGAGTCCAGTGACATAGCCATTACGCTAACTGCTGGTCCCAACCATCTGTAGTTTCAGGGTTGCACTTGGAGTCTTCAGACAGAACCCCTGTGGATAAAGGAGAGCCTGTCGACTGTATACGTACTATACACCATGATACTTACTCAATATTGTCATCTCATATTTTTAGAAAAAAAAGTTTAGCAAAAATCCAGTAAGTTGATTTCATGACTCTCTAATATCACTACCTAAAGCTTGGAACATGTTAGGCTAATTACAAAGCAAAGGCCTATATATGGCACGAGGAGAAGAAGGGGGACGAAACCAGCAAGGGCAAAGGAAAGGCAATTCTTCCTAGGAGAATCTGAGACATAAAAACACAATAGATGTGGAGGTATCACAGAAGGAGGCTGAAAGCTCTCTGAGTGACTTCAGTCTCTGGACTCAGTGAGGGGAGAGGAAGAGACACAGTGAGTGGTTACTGACTAGCTTTCATAGCGTTCATTTGGTCTAATCTACATTATCTCTTACCAAAATACTATAGTAAACTTTGGATGGCTGTGACGAAGTAACTGCGCCCCACTCCCTCAGGGTTTTCCAGTGCTTTCCCAGAAGGTCAGTCTTCTTAGCTGAGCAATGGAGCCTCTGCCATCTAACTGCTTCTCTAAGCCCGTGGCCTCTCCTCCCTTCTGCTTGATGCTGAGTCTGGAGTTTCTTGCTTCTGTACAATATTTGCTCTTACTATTCCCTGAGACAATCCCTATAAAATCTTCTCCATTGTGAAAGGCCCAATTCAAACACCACCTCTGCCACAAATAAAGCATAGCATGTCTTTTGTAATTTTTATGGCCCACAAATACCTTTTACCTGCTATCATCATTTCAATCACGCGTTCTTTCAGAAATTGAATATTTAGCAAGCATATACTCCACCCCAACACCATGAATAAAAGATAAAAAAATACGTGTCCTGTCCTATATTTGTACATATCTGTCACTCACATAGATGCGTCACATTGTAAATTCTTTGCAGGTAGAGGTAGTATTTTATTCATTCCTTTATTCAATAAATATTTAATAAGAGCCTAACTCAGTGAAAGGCATGGTTCTTCATGCTGAAATATAAAAGTGAACAGAACGGTCCAAATTTCTTGCCTTCTAAGAGCTTTTATTTTTCATAGGAGCTTAAGACAATAAGAAAATAGATATATAATATTGGATAGTGATAAGTGTTAGCTAGAGAAATAATGCAGCCTCAGTAAATTCAGAATGACTGGTATGCTATTCTATTGGTGGATCAAAGGACTATGATCTCCACAACAAACAAGACTTGTGCAGAGACCTGAATGAGGTAAGGAGTGAATCATGTGAGTACGTGCAGGAGAGCACCCAGCCGGAGGGGAAAGCAGTGTACTGGCCCAGCGGCAGCTCCATGCTTAGACTGTGCTTGGCAGACAGCAGGAGACCTGGGTGGCTGGAACAGAGTGAATGAGGGGTAGGGTGCCAGGAGACAAAGTCAGGCAAAGCACTATGGATAACTAAATGTCCTGAAGGCTAAAAATCTTCCTACAAGGGATGACTTGGTATAGGATAATGCAGGGATGTTATTTAAGATAGCACCAACGGCATTTGTGGGCACAGTATGAGAAAAAGGAGGAAAGTGTTGGAGAAAGGAGGCAAAGTTGACTAAATGGTTTTGGGCCAGAGCCAATGGAAGCATAAAGTGGCTATTGAAAAGATGGAGAAAGCTATAGAGAGGTCACAGGTATTTCGGGGATGGGAAGAGCTCAGTGTTAGAACTGTTAGGGAAGATACTCTATTTATAGCCTTGAAGGCTGAATGAGATTACTTCAAGGAGAAATGAAAAGGGAAGAGAAATCTGAAAACTAAACTATGAAGTACAGTAACAGATGCAGGGCATGATGCAGACCCCGGAAAGAAGACTGGGAAGGAAGAGTCAGTGAGCCAGGATTAAAAACTAGAAGAGGGTCTCCAAGAAACCAGTTCACGTATGTCATATCCAATGGATAATTCATAGAGAGGAGATGCAATAGATGTTATAAATTCTGTTGAAGAGAGTTTGGAAGTAAAACCGTAGGAAAAAGTAAAATATGATCATCAGGTGAAAAGCCCAAGGATCTCTCTGAGTGGTCCTGGAGATGAAATGAGAATTGAGAGTGGGTGAGGGAGGGAGTTGTAAGCAGAAACAATAAACTCTAACTTCCAGCAAGATGTGATTCCTCTTTCCTCTTCTGGAAGCCCTTTTATGGGAGATAAGGAAAAAGTACAATCCACCATAGTTCAAAAAAGCTTATATCAACTATTTAAGGAGACGTACTACATTTCCTTATAGTACTTTGAGATTATTTATTTATTGAGTACATTATTTATTGGTACTTTATTGTTTGATGATAAAGGAATGCCATTTAAATATGTTGGTTGTCTAGAGTTGTACTTAAAATGGCAGAGCTAGCCCGTGGTGGACTGGTTAAGGCAGCTAGATTCCACATGGCCAATTGAGCAGTTTGAGTCCTGGACTCAATGACTTGAAAAACATGCCAGGTGCATGGCATGTGTGCCTAAAATCCCCAAAGTAAAAAAGAGAAGGGATTGCAGATGGCTATTCCCCCCTCAGGAGGCGGGGTGGTGGTGATTTCTCACTCCACCCATCTCTCTCTTTTGAGCACATGTGCCCTATAGCAAAAACAAAACCAAAAAGTCTAAAACCTGTTTCCTTAGTCTCTACATGTGCATATGAGTTTGTGTATGTGTATGTGTGTGCATGTGTGTGCGCATGCACAGATGCACTCAGCATCAAGCTGTAAATTTAAGAACTAAAAACTTGGCAGAAAGTGTCAATTATGCACATGTGGGTCTATTTTCTGACAAGGCAAAAAATAAATTCATTGGATAATGAGTTCATGTGTAGTAAATCAATTTGTTCACATATTTTGCAAAGGTGGGGGTTAATTACTATCAATGTCTTATTGATATAATGCATTAAAAGACATTTAAAATGGGGTCCTAATGGCACCTGACTCAAGGGAGTGGTGGTCTGGCCTTTTTTTCCCATGGTTTTTTCAGCACCAACTGATTTAGCAGACCCACGAGAAGAAAAATGGTGTTTGCAACATTAACATCTTGCAACAAATATTTCTCTTCCTAAGTTTCCAGTGCATCATGTAGTTTTATGTAGTGAGGATGCTTATATTTGAGAGCATTTTGCATTTGGTAACTCCATATGACCAGTTAATGTAGTTCAGTTTCCAAGTCTCACCAGGTCTTTCTTTTATAGAGCAAGATAATCAGAAGTCCTAGAGCGAGACAGACTGGCTGTGGTCTACCAGCATAGTAGTGAGAACATAGCCAAGTTATAGAAGGCTTAATCATTGAGGGGGCAGGGGGAACAACCATAAAACAGTCAGCAAATGTTATTCATTTTCATGTAGAAAGCTTTTCCATCTTCTCACACCAAATCATATTACTTGGTGTTTAAAGTAAAATGTAGCTTGGAATCTGGATGTAAATTAGAAAAGGCACTCTTTTATTCTAAGTCAAACATTTATTCATACTTCATGTGTTGAAGTGCCAGTGGCAATTTGGGCTGAGTTTTCAGGAAAAAAGTTATATAGCTTTTATGTTCCCCTCCCTTTTTCAAACCTAAGAGATCATCAGTAATAACTATTCTACTACCAAGCAAATGAGCATAAATTCTGGTCTTATTTTTCTTTAGATTAATGAAAAAAAAAAGGACACTTTTGCTAGATGCTTAATATTTTCATGGCTATCATATAATTACTAATTAGTAAAAGTCCAAAATATTAACCTGTTCACTATAATATGTGGTTAATTCATTTTTTAAAAAAAGCCAAAAATTGATTTATTAATGATTTTTAACTGTATTTAATCGTGATGCCCAACCTTAAGAACTTCACTCATTGAGCTAGATGGTAGTACAACAGTACTTCAATGCTCTGCAATGCAGAACTCATGTGGGAAGGTCCCTATTCATACCCCAGGGCCTCCCTCTATGAGCCAGGTGTGTGTGTCATGCCTGTGATCCAGGCTAGCTGGGGCTGAGGGTGAGTCACAGCATGACTACTCTGTTAGAATGCCTGACGTGCTACATCTCTCCCTCTCATCGAAGAAATATATAAACTTTGAAAGAATAATCTTCTGTTTTTCTTTTGAAGTTGACCAGACAGAGAGAAGGAAAGTGAGAAAATAAGCTGCCAGATCCGAGACTTGAACCATGGTCACCATCTGGGAGTCCAGCTGCCCCAACCACTCTGCTGCCTGCCAGTCCTGAGAATAATAATTTTTATAAATAGGGCAGTTATCACCTAAGAATAGTCCCAATTACCCTGATAATGGGTAGAAGTACCTAATTTAATAAAATAAGTAGGCCAAAAGGATTCTCACACTTTTTTGTTTCTGATTCAGTTTCAGCCCTTCATGTGTCATGGAAGGCCTCAATGATTACCGCTGCACAGCGTGTCCACGAGGATATGAAGGCCAGTACTGCGAAAGGTACGCAATCATGGTACGCGAGAGACCATACGTAAAGGTCATATGGGAAAGGTCACAGTGGAAAGTATTCCTGTTTGAATAATTTCAGTATTTTTGTGTTTTCTAGCCATTTAAATTGTATGCTTTCAAAACTATTTTCATATTTTTAGCCATTCTCCAAAGAACGTTGTTTTTTATTTCTACCTTGTGTCTAATTTTTCTAAAGCTTCCAAATTGTCTCATGATTATCTAATTGATGTTTTTTCATGGGTGTATATATGCATATATGTAATTTTATAAGAATAAATAAGTCAAATCAATCTTCAATTCAAAAAATACCAGTATAAACTTTAGAAATTTGTATTATCAATAATAAAATGTTGACCACGTAGTTCCCATTTTAATTCACTGGAAAATATAGTTTAGCAATAACTGCATGCTCATTACTATTCTGAGCACTATGGCACTGTATCAGCAGGTGTACTTGAAACAGAGACTATAAGTGGGATGGAGAATATTTTTAATTAGTGCAATCTAAACAATAAACTGTTTGTTATTCGGTTCTCCTCTTCAATGGGCAAACAATATAACTTAATGTCTCCTCTTACCACGTCCCTCAAAATCTCATAATGCATGTATTCTGTTATTAAATTGAATTTTAAATGCAGTGCAAATGGTAAATTAAGTCCAAACTTACTGTCTAGTAAGGTGGTAATGAATATCTTTAACTTATATATTTTCTGTAAGATCAGTATTCTAGGTATTTCGAGTTATCTTCACCACATTTAGTACATTGCAGATTTTATTCCTAACGTAGAATAACTAGTATTTATTATTAACATAATACATGCATGTGTAATTATAGCATAAGTGACAGCACTATAAAAGCTTTGTAAAAATCGAGGGACTTAGCTTAGCTCCACCTGTTTAGCCGAGTTGTGTTTTTCTCATGTATTAGCTCAGGAATAGCTGAAGCACCCTCTACTTTGCACTGATATGGTGACAAATACAAATGTAAATGGCACTAGTGGTGCCATGTGTAGAGAGGTCTTCTCTCCAACAGGAAGGGGTCAAAAGGCCTGAGAATTTATTCTTCCATCATCACCTGAAATCATACTTTTGTCTAACTACTTTGCACTGATATGGTGACAAATACAAATGTAAATGGCACTAGTGGTGCCATGTGTAGAGAGGTCTTCTCTCCAACAGGAAGGGGTCCAAAGGCCTGAGAATTTATTCTTCCATCATCAATAATTTGTCTAAATTATTTCTTTTCCATGTCCTGTTTCAATGATTTCTTTACTGAACTCCTCAAATTGTTCATTCCTCTGCAAATATTAGGTTGTCAGGAAAGTCATGACATATTTTTCTATGCAAAAATGTGTCATGCCTTTCCTAACAAGCCAATATAAACTAAGTATGAGTTCATATTTATCATCACCCACTGAAGAATCTTCTTTTATATAGCCAGCAATGGCTGTAGTAATAATGGCAATATTTAACTAAATAAGACTTAAGTTTTTTAAATGCCAATACAATTTTCATAGGTATATCTCCAAATAGATCTCTATGTGATACTCCAACACAATATCCAATATCTGTATATATATAAAATGGTGCTCTCACAATTCCATGCCAGCAGAAATTAGCAGCAATTAAATAATGAAAGAAAAACAAAATATTTCTTTTGAAGATATTGACATCATTTGGATATAGGTATAAATGATAAAGTGATACACATTTTTTACACACCCACCAGTATGTTTTGGCAATGTTCATTTTATGGCCAATATTCATTTATGCTTTTGTAAACACCAGCAGGATAGTTACTAAATGTATGCCCAGACACCTAAGGGATTATCATTAGGAATTTATTTTTTAAAACTTCGATAGTACAGTTACATTTATAAATTGGAGTTCCTGCTATCTACAAAAGCATGTGTATAAAGAGACTGGGAAAGTACACTGAAATAACTATCCCTGTCTTTAAGCAGAGTGATCACAGAAAATTTGTTTTGTAAATATCCATTAATGTTTGAGCAATCAAAGTTGACAGTTGATATAGCATACAGATGAGCTGAATCATAAAGCTATCAAATGTGAATGACTTGAATTGTTTTTCAATTCTCAAATGCTATTATACTTTTGCCTTCACCAACTGTAACGTATAAGTGATCAAGTTACAGTTCCCCAAAAAGCTACTCTTATTCTGCTAAATGAAACCATAGTTCTTGGTTAAAGTTTTATTGTAACCCTCAAAATAAATTTTTCCCACTTCCTAGAGCTTCTTAAATAATTTAAAATGATCTTTTGACCTGTTCAAATCTATCAGCTCATTGTGTAAAATTGCTTAAATTTCTTGAGCATCGCTAAAGTGTAGAAACCCCTCCCCATACTCTATTTTTATTATTGGCGTAATAAACTCTCTGAGCGTTTAATCGATCTGAACCGGCTTAGACTACAGGTATTTCATCTGTGATGTTAAGAAACAATGTAAGTGGTTTAATATGATTTATATTTTCAGTGAGCATTTGTAATCTTTTAGTGGAAGAAAATAAAGACATAAATGTGTAAAAACCTAATATTGCAAATAGTTTTCCTCATGCTTTGCCTTTTATAACCAGCACAGGATGAATTAACTTTCACAGTCAGAGATGTGAATTTCTGTAACACCAAACCACGAAAGATGATCTAGGATTATCCGACCAGTGTTTTATAAGTTTTGGCTCCAGTTGCAGTTGCCTTTCAACTTCCTCTCTTATTTTTTCAACAAAATCTCTGATTATTGGTTATATCTAGGCTGATGTACATATGATTTATTGTCCAATCTGGGATATGCTAATGAAGTATGGGAATTATTTTTAATAATTAAATCAGAACAAAATAATCATCTGGGATTATTCTGGACAAACCAGAACAAATGACTCTGCAAACTGCTTGTAAAGTTCCAAACTTCCATTCATAAACCAGAGTGGATGTATTCTTTAGTGAGGAGAAATATGAATGGAAGAGTCAATGAATGGATTGCATTTTAAATTCATCCAATTGGATTTCCTTTCTCATTTCTCAAATAAGTGTTACATACTTTATATTTGTATAACATTGACCCAGTTCCCATTTCCATAGATTCACAACAAAGAATCTGTCTTAAAGAAAATGGTAGAAAGGAAAGACCAGCAGAATTAAATAGAAATCAGAGCAACTTACTGCCTCTTTCAATTTGCCTCCTTTTCCACAGTAAAAATAATGGGTAATTTTATTTTGATATCTACAACGCACAAAGAGAGAAAAGCCCGGGAGTCAATGTATTAATATAATCTATCTCTCTCTGATTTTAAAAAGAAGACCAAAAATTAAAGTTTATGATCTAGAACAATGGTGAGTAGACTGAGGCAAACAGGCTATATTCGGCTATGGCCTCCTTCTTTCTGGCACTTGAACCAAGAACCGTTGTGATAGGTAAACAGTTCAAATCAATTCGATGGTAGCAAGCATTAAATTTGAGTTTTATTAGGTGAAATTTGATATCTCAAAAAGAATTCCATTCTTCTCATTAGTAGATTAACATTACATAATCATTTCTACTCAATGATGATGATGTTGGTAATGTTTTGAATTCCATCAACAAAAAGCATTTTAAAATGTATTTCTCTTTCACTGCATTATCATGATTTTTGCCTCTTGGCCCACAAAGCCTGGTATATACTATCTGGCCCCTAACAGAGGTTGGCTGACTCGTGATCTATATAGACTCTTGATAACAGTTTAGTTCATTCAAAAGAAAACAAAACACACACATGAAACAATTTAGAGATGTGACTTGTTTGATCTCTTTTGCTTTGTCACTGTTTAAATTCAGGTGTGCCCCTGGCTATACTGGCAGTCCAAGCAGCCCCGGAGGCTCCTGCCAAGAATGTGAGTGTGACCCCTATGGCTCACTGCCTGTCCCCTGTGACCCTGTCACAGGAATCTGCACGTGTCGCCCTGGAGCCATAGGAAGGAAGTGTGACCGCTGCAAGCACTGGCATGCACGCGAGGGCATGGAGTGTGTTTGTACGTATACTAACTTAGCTTTTCATTCAGGGGGTCTCGGTTCCATTTCTGTCTCATTTCCAGTGAGAACAATGGGCTTTCTCTATTTACAATGGCTAGTGCTACTCTTCATTCTTTCTGTCGCTATCCATCCACCTTCTGCTCTTTGCTTGCTGGTTTTGTCTCATCCTACTGAGCCAAGAACAGCCGAAAAAACCCTCAGTATGCTCTGGTAAGTTCATTGAAGACCTGCAACAAAGCTCCTCGAGGCATCTTTTATTTTATTTTTTGGGTCCATCTCAGCAAGTTGGCATTGCCTTTGTGACAGATTAAAGATCAGTCTACATTAAATTTTTTAGAATCTTCCTGAATTTGTAATCAGCTGGACAGACATTTTAAACCAGTAATTGTAACTGACTCTGCTTTTCCCAGCTTTTACAGAAATCTATGAGCACACTGCTTTGGAATTGTCTCTTAAACTACAGAATCTGAAAGCAGTAACAATGAACTTGAGTATCTTCACTCACATGTACATTAAATGGAAAATGGTTTGGTCTTCCTTCCTCTCTCTCTTTCTCTTCTTTTCCACTGATCCTGGGTTTAGTAGTGCCATACTAAAAGTACAGTGAAGTCTGCGGTTAAACACAATTCTAGGATCTTATATACATTCCATTCTAAGATAGGTTATTTATAAATTCAAGAAGGGAGTGTTATATTATGGTGGTTTTTTTCCTTAAGGTAATTTATTTCATCACCTTTTAATTTAACCATTTTCCTATTGCAATATATTTATGCATGCTAATATTTCTTGTGTTAACATCTAATGTGTGTCTAAATCTAAATAGCATTTTAATTAGAAGAAATTCTGCATGTGCTCTGGTTGTATAAGAGTTACCTCAAAAGCTGAGGCCAGTTTTGAAATACTCTGAAAGGGACCTGCAGATGGCATAATGGTTTTGTTGCTGGACTCCCATGTAGTCAACAGTAATTCAAATCTCAGACCTGGTGGCTTAAAATTCTTGCCAGGTGCGTGAACATGGGAGTGCCCAAAATCCCAAAAGGAGAATAGAAGAGAAAGGATTATTGTGAGGCCATCCCCTGAGGGGGGGGGCAGGTTTCTTGCTTTCTGTCTCTCTGTCTCTGTCTCTCCAGCGAGTGCACATTGTTTTCCTTTAGCTAAAACACTCTAAAAAAAATTCTAAAAAGTTTGAGAAGACAGATTTTTATTTAATTATTGTTTTTGTATTTCATCCATCTTTAATAAAAGTGTATTACATTGAAAATAAAAATAAATCTGGAGGTATGTGGGAGGGGATATATATATATATATATACATATATATATTCACTCTTCCCAAGTGTAATGGCATATTTTAATGACAGTTAAAGAAGTGGACTACTATAGTATTTCATAATACTTCTTTCAAGTTATATTATTGATAAGGGTATAATTAGTTAGTTTTTATGCTTTTCATAATGCAAACACTAAGCAACACTTGAGTTATAAATCATCAATTTATTAATTATCCAGAAGTAAACTTGTAATAAAAGGGCATGTTTAACATGAAGCACAAAAATTAAACATTAGCACATTGAAATCTGGGAAAACGTAAAATAATGGAGTCATTTCCTGAACATTTCTTTCACAGAGAATTGACATTCTGTCCATCATCGGCAATGACTTTAAATATTTTTTCAGTTGAAAATCAATACTTTATTTACATTTTAAATAAATTTGCCATAAGAAAAGTTAACTGATTTTGTCCTATCAGAGGTATAGATTTCTAATCTCCATGTATCTCATGTGATATTAACAGAAGTGCCACTACTCCAGTTACAATGTAAGACCAGCCTCTTGATGCTCATTTGCATTATTCTTATCTTATAGAGAAATGTATTTGTAGCTGCTATACTGACTGCTCAGTTCAGTTGCTGTGACCTAGAAATTTCAATATTCTCTTGGGGGATTAAATAATAGTGATTATTTTTCTGTTAAAAAAGTGTGTTCAATCGAGGTAGCCTTATAGTACAATGGTTACGCCCTATGCACTGGGAGCTGGAGCCATATGGCTGACCATAGTTCTAGTCTTGTCCTAGTGGTGAAAACATTCTGGGGATGTGTGCATATATGTACAGACTCCTGATGGGATGGAAAAATGGTAGAAAAAGGGATTATAGAATAACCATGCCCCATCGGAAGGTGTCTCTCTCTTTCTATTTCTCTGTCTGTCTCTCTCTGATGAGCACATGTGTCCTCTGGCAATAAAAAAGGTATTAATTTATAGGGGTTTTATGATATCTAGATAATCTTTCTAAAGTGTTAATTACTTTATCATCATGTTATATAGATTTTTCTTATGTACCCTTAAGCTTTAGTCATTTTCACTTACTTTTAAGAATGTTTTCTCTTCACTCTTCAATTATATTAACATTAGGATTCTTACACAGAATATCTTTAGATATTTCTCTATCAAAATTTCTCTGGTTATGGGACCAACAGATGGTATACTGATTACATTGTTGTTCTCTCATGCAACTATGTGAGTCACAGTTTCAGTCCCAGACCCAGTCGCTGGTTGTGTGTGCATGAGTGCCCAAACACTGAGAGGAGAATGGAGGAGAAGGGATTGTGACATAGCCATCCCCCCAGAGAGTGATTTCCGCCTTTCTTTCTCTATGTCCCTCTGTTGCTCTGATAAACACATGTGCCCTATAGCAAAATTCTCTCTTAAAAAAAAAAAAAAGAATTTACA